CCCTCTCCTCCCCTGCTCGCTCCTCTCCTCCCCTGCTCGCTCCTCTCCTCCCCTGCTTGCTGCCCTCTCCTGCTCGCTGTTCTCCTCCCCTGCTCGCTGTTCTCCTCCCCTGCTCGCTGCCCTCCTCCCCTGCTCGCTGTTCTCCTCCCCTGCTCGCTGCCCTCCTCCCCTGCTCGCTGTTCTCCTCCCCTGCTTGTTGTTCTCCTCCCCTGCTCGCTGCCCTCCTTCCCTGCTCCCTGCCCTCCTCCCCTGCTTGTTGGTCTCCTCCCCTGCTCGCTGCTCTCCTCCCCTGCTCGCTGCTCTCCTCCCCTGCTCGCTGCCCTCCTCCCCTGCTCGCTGTTCTCTCTCCCCTGCTCACTGCCCTCCTTCCCCGCTCCCTGCCCTCCTCCCCTGCTTGTTGGTCTCCTCCCCTGCTCGCTGCCCCCTCGCCTCCCCTGGTTGCTCCTCTCCTCCACTGCTCGCTGCCCTCTCCTCCCCTGCTCGCTCCTCTCCCCCCTGCTCGCTCTTCTCCTCCCCTGCTGTTGTGCTGTGAGAGGTCTTGTGCTGCAGCAAGACCCTACAGCCCGCTCTCCATCCCAGGACCCATGGACCTCTGAAGAGCCTGGCTGGCCTGCTACTGCTACCGGCCCCTTGCTCTCTCCACCACTTGCCAGAGTTCTGCCTCCTTGCTGTGTGCCAACCCCTGCACTGAGGATTTAACTCTGACTTAATCCTTGCCCGCCAATGTTCTGCCTCCTTGTTGTGTGCCAACCCCTGCACTGAGGATTTAACCCGGACTTAACCCTTGCCCTCCAGAGTTCTGCCTCCTTGCTGTGTGCCAACCCCTGCACTGAGGATTTAACCCGGACTTAACCCTTGCCCTCCAGAGTTCTGCCTCCTTGCTGTGTGCCAACCCCTGCACTGAGGATTTAACCCGGACTTCACCCTTGCCCACCAGAGTTCTGCCTCCTTGCTGTGTGCCAACCCCTGTACTGAGGATTTAACCCGGACTTAACCCTTGCCCACCAGAGTTCTGCCTCCTTGCTGTGTGCCAACCCCTGCGCTGAGGATTTAACTCCGACTTCACCCTTGCCCACCAGAGTTCTGCCTCCTTGCTGTGTGCCAACCCCTGCGCTGAGGATTTAACTCCGACTTCACCCTTGCCCACCAGAGTTCTGCCTCCTTGCTGTGTGCCAACCCTTGCACTGAGGATTTAACCCGGACTTAACCCTTGCCCGACAGAGTTCTGCCTCCTTGCTGTGTGCCAACCCCTGCGCTGAGGATTTAACATGGACTTAACCCTTGCCCGCCAGAGTACTGCCTCCTTGCTGTGTGCCAATTGCTGTGACGAGGACATAACCCAGGGGTGGGCAAACTTTTTGACTTGAGGGCCGCAATGGGTTCATATATTGGACCCGGGGGCCGGACCAAGAGTAGAGAATGAATGATGTGTATGTGTCATCCATAGTAAGTATAGTAATATTCCCCCATAGTAAGCATAGTAATTCATCCCCCATAGTAATTCATCCCCCATATAGTAATTCATCCCCCATAGTAATTCATCCCCCATATAGTAATTCATCCCCCATATAGTAATTAATCCCCCATATAGTAATTCATCCTCCATAGTAATTCATCCCCCATATAGTAATTCATCCCCCATATAGTAATTCATCCCCCATAGTGTAATTCATCCCCCATAGTAATTCATTCCCCATAATAATTCATCCCCCATATTAAGTCCCCAAGTCCCCCCTGTGTCAATTCACTTACCTTTGCTCCGCGCGTTCCTCTCGCCGTGTTCCCGCGCCGTTCCGGTGTAGCAGGAAAATTTGTCCCCTATGAGGATCTGTCCCCCTCGACGTATCTGCGCATGTGCCAGTTTCAGCCATTAGCAGCCGATCGGCGATCTCCGGCACATGCGCAGATACGTCGAGGGGGACAGATCCTCATGCTACACCGGTCCTCAGGGCGGACTGTGAGAGGAGCCTAGCGGGAGCCTAGCTCCGCGGACCGGATTAAAAGGCCCGCGGGCCGTAGTTTGCCCATTGCTGACTTAACCCTTGCCCGCCAGAGTCCTGCCACCCTGTTGTGGGCCCAGACTGTGCTGCGGACTAACCCCTTTGATTACTGGACTTCTGCCCCCTGCTGCGTGCCCAACCTATGTTACGGATTCAACCCCCTTTTGCTTACTAGAACTCGGTTATCCTTGTTGTGTGCCCCACTCTGTGTTATGGACTTAACCCATTTTTTTCTACCAGAACTCTGCTATACTAATCGTGTGCCCTCACTATTATTCAATAAAAGTCTTGTGTGTCCCGCAGCTCTCCGCCTGTGTTCTGTTCCACCCACTCCTCCATCACAATATATATATCTATATATATGTAAAGCACTGCGTAAATTGACAGCGCTATATAAGTACCTGTAGTAGTAATAATAATAATAATGACGACTTTCATTGGGTACGGTTGTGCTGATCTCTGTGATTGGTCACAGTGATCACAAGGTACAGACGGGACGAATCACAGCCCACCTGTACCATGTGATTAGCTCTGGCCAATCATAGCTAATCACAATAGTGTAGTACAGTGTTACTATGGTAACACTGTATTACTCTGGTCACAGTATGTAAAAAAAATTGTAAAGAAACTATGTAACAAAAAGGAAAAAAAAACTGTTATTTTTTTCTTTTTTGTTTACATAATGTCACCAGTCAGTGTCCCTGATCACCACCACGCCAGTTATATGATGACGCTGTACTGCATTGGTGACAGTAACATCTTCATTTTCCAAAAGATTGTGACAAAAAATTACAACTTCCAAAAACTCACCATGCCTCTTACTAAATACCTTGGACTGTCTACTTTCCAAAAAGGGGTCATCTGGGGGATACTTGTATTGTCCTGACTTTTTCAGGCCTCATGAAATGAGATCCTCTATCAGTACATCAGGATTAATCAATTTTCATATATTTATATATACAATAGTTTTTCCTACAGACTAAGTAATAAACACGGATTTTGATTATTTTTGCTAAATAAATGTAGCAGAAACCATTTTGGCCTCAATTTATGAAGGAAGATTATTTATTTGCAAATTTTTATAACAGAAATGAAAAAAAAAGTGTTTAATTTTGGTATTTTTTTTTCATTTAATGAAAAAAAAAATAGCTGTGATTAAAAACCATCAACAGAAAGCTCTATTGGTGTGAAAAAATGAAAAAACTTTTCTTTTGGGTACAGTGTTGCATGACAGCGCAATTGCTATTCAAAGTGTGAGAGTGCTGAAAGCTCAAAATTGGCCTGGGAAGGGAGGGGGTGAAAGTGTCCAGTTTTGAAGTGGTCAAATTAGTACTAAAGGCAAAAATGTTTTTCATTTTGGACAACACAAGGAAGGGTTATAACGTTTGGTGTGCTGGGTGTACAGAAATGTGTTGGGGGCACAGTAGTCATCTGCAATAATGATGTGCAGGAATCTCTAGCAACCAATCTGTCAGGAATCTAGGAATGACCAGAAAGGTGTGGACTGACACAGGGAAACGCCGGCTTCAGGTATAGTATAATAATACAGGTTATTATTAGCCACCCAGATATATATATATATATAAATGCACAGTGAACAAACCAACCTTCCACTAATCTTAGTAGGTGCAGGAACACAGGCGTAGTCAGGGCTGGAGAGGTGGAATGGTCAGGCCGGCCGTAGGGTTCTGTAACGACTGCCTGGTGGTACCTCTAGTGGTCCCCAGGACAGGATTCCCCAGGGCGCGGAGTCTAAGTCCCAGTCTGCTTATTCACCAGGGCCCCTGATGGTGGGGATGGACTTGGAGCAGGCAGGAACCAGGTCGCGGCCCCTGAGTACACCTGCTAGTGGTAGAGGGATCCGCCAGATGTATGTGCAGGTAGAAAGCCTGATGTGAAGAGGCAGAAGGTGTGAGCAGGGACGGCTGGATCCGTGCAGGATGGATGGATGGCAGAGTAGTAGCGTGGTCAGACGGGCCAGGTCAGCAACGTGCGGGCAGCAAGGTACCAAAGGAGCAGGCAGAGAATGGTCAGGGTCACAAGCTGGGTTCAGTAACTCACGGGCAGCGCAGTACAGGGGATCAGGCAGAAGGATGGTCAGGCAAGCCAGGGGTTCAACAGGAGACGGTCAGCAGAGGTCAGGATCAAGCCGGGTCAGCAACGAAGCAGGAACACAGGATACCAGGTACAGGGGCTCATGGGAAAACATACACCGAGGCCCAGATTACAGGCCTGGTCATGCCTTAAATACACCTTCTGCAATCTGCCCCAGGTTTGGCTGATTGCAGGAGTGAGCTTCTGGCTGCTGAGAGCACCCGCTGGTCAGCTCTGGTACTGCAGCCCACACAGCAGGTGAGTCCCACCACCAGTGCTGAGTCCATTCCTGACAGTACCCCCCCTCAAGGAGCGGCCTCAGGACGCTCCAAACAGTCCTTAGTGGGCAAAATGTTCCACCGCCCGGGTCAGGTAACTGGCTGAATATCCTACTGCTGGAGTAAACCGGCTGGCTGGGTTTCCTGCAGGTAGACTTCTCTTTGTGTAGGAGAACCCAGGAAGGCAGGTCACTGGGCACAGGATTTCCAGGAGCAGGCTGGGATTCAGTTATTGGCCAGTTTAGCTGGACATCAGGTGCTGGCATGTCGGGCTGTGCAGCGGGCAGAGGCACGTCAGCGGGCACTGAGTCATCTGGCACGACAGCGGGCACCGAGTCACCGGGCACGTCAGCGGGCACCGAGCCATCTAGCAGAACCGCGGGCACAGAGTCACCTGGCAAGTCAGCGGGCACCGAGTCACCTGGCATGTCAGCGGGCACCGAGCCATCTAGCAGAACCGCGGGTACTGGGTCACCAAGCTCGACAGCAGGCACCAAATTAACTGGCACAACAGTGGGCACTGAATCAACTGGCACAACAGTGGGCACCAAGTCATCTGGCACGACAGCGGGCACCAAGTCATCTGGCACGACAGCGGGCACTGAGTCACCAGGCACCGAGCCATCTAGCAGAACCGCGGGCACAGAGTCACCTGGCAAGTCAGCGGGCACCGAGTCACCGGGCATGTCAGCGGGCACCGAGCCATCTAGCAGAACCGCGGGTACCGGGTCACCAAGCTCGTCAGCGGGCACCGAGTCAACTGGCACGACAGCGGGCACCGAGTCACCGGGCATGTCAGTGGGCACCGAGCCATCTAGCAGAACCGTGGGTACCGGGTCACCAAGCTCGACAGCGGGCACCGAGTCAACTGGCATGACAGCGGGCACCGAGTCATCAGGCATCGGGTCATGTGGCTCAACAGCGGGCATTGGGTCCTCAGGCATCAGGTCATCTGGCTCGACAGTGGGCACCGAGTCAACTGGCACGACAGCGGGCACCGAGTCATCAGGCACCAAGTCATCCGGCTCAACAGCGGACACCGAGTCAACTGGCACGACAGTGGGCACCGAGTCAACTGGTACGACAGCGGGCACCAAGTCAACTGGCACGACAGCGGGCACCAAATCATCAGGCATCGAGTCAACTGGTACGACAGCGGGCACCAAGTCAACTGGCACGACAGCGGGCACCGAATCATCAGGCATCAAGTCATCTGGCTCGACAGCGGGCACCGAGTCAACTGGCACCGAGTCAACTGGCACGACAACGGGCACCAGGTCATCAGGCATCAAGTCAACTGGCAGGATGGTACAGCGAGTGGGAGCAGGGTATTGACATGCGGTAGATAGCAGGGTATACTGGGCTGTCACTGGGGGTGCTGTCGGGAATGCAGGAAAAGAGCTTTGAGCAGAGGAATAATGAGAAACAGGACTGGTTTGTTGCAAGCTGATTGAGGCTGGGTGTAACAAGTCTGACCATGTCTGCAGTAAGGGTTGGACAACGCTCAGCTTACACAAGGCCTGTCTGGTCAAAGATTGCACTGCGTTTATACACTTCTTTAGCACATGTGGTGAACATGCTGAATAATGCTCCAAGAAGCAATCCGGATCATCCTCCAACAACCATACCAGTGATACTATTTGACTCGCCCTGAATGGAGGAAGAAAGTCATCCCTGCTTCCAGGGGTACTAGATGAAGCCAACTCAGCACAAGCCTGAATCAATGGTTGCACCTCAGAGAGCTCTAGGTCCTGACCTACTAGGGAATGAGGGACCCGTATGCACTCTAGCAGCTGATGCCTGGTATACTCCCGCAGAGTCTGATAGGCATATTCTCTGTCATCAAAGACTAGAATAGACAAATACACAACCTCCTCAGGATGCATCCTTCACAACAAGTCAAGATGGCTTCCCTGTGCAGCCACTTCTGGTCAGGAAAGGCCTTGGTGTGATGTCAGGAATCTAGGAATGACCAGAAAGGTGTGGACTGACACAGGGAAACGCCGGCTTCAGGTATAGTATAATAATACAGTTTATTATTAGCCACCCAGATATATATATATAAACGCACAGTGAACAAACCAACCTTCCACTAATCTTAGTAGGTGCAGGAACACAGGAGTAGTCAGGGCTGGAGAGGTGGAATGGTCAGGCCGGCCGTAGGGTTCTGTAACGACTGCCTGGTGGTACCTCTAGCGGCCCTCAGGACAGGATTCCCCAGGGCGCGGAGTCTAAGTCCCAGTCTGCTTATTCACCAGGGCCCCTGATGGTGGGGATGGACTTGGAGCAGACAGGAACCAGGTCACGGCCCCTGAGTACACCTGCTAGTGGTAGAGGGATCCGCCAGAGGTATGTGCAGGTAGAAAGCCTGATGTGAAGAGGCAGAAGGTGTGAGCAGGGACGGCTGGATCCGTGCAGGATGGATGGATGGCAGAGTAGTAGCGTGGTCAGACGGGTCAGGTCAGCAACGTGCGGGCAGCAAGGTACCAAAGGAGCAGGCAGAGAATGGTCAGGGTCACAAGCTGGGTTCAGTAACTCACGGGCAGCGCGGTACAGGGGATCAGGCAGAAGGATGGTCAGGCAAGCCAGGGGTTCAACAGGAGACGGTCAGCAGAGGTCAGGGTCAGCAACGAAGCAGGAACACAGGATACCAGGTACAGGGGCTCATGGGAAAACATACACCAAGGCCCAGATCACAGGCCTGGCCATGCCCTAAATACACCTTCTGCAATCAGCCCCAGGGTTGGCTGATTGCAGGAGTGAGCTTCTGGCTGCTGAGAGCACCCGCTGGTCAGCTCTGGTACTGCAGCCCACATGGCAGGTGAGTCCCACCACCAGTGCTGAGTCCATTCCTGACACAATCAGTGAGCAATAATGATAAGCAGTAACATATAGCAACCAATCAGTGAGCAGTAAAAATGTGCAGTATCCTCAGCAACCAATCAGTGAGCAGGAGTAATGTTCAGTAACCTCTAACAAACAATCAGTGAGCGGTAAGGATGTGCAGTAACCTCTAGCAACCAATCAGTGAACAGGAATGTTGTTCAGTAACCTCTAACAATCAGAAAGCGGTAAGGATGTGCAGTAACCTCTAGCAACCAATCAGTGAGCAGGAATGACATTCAGTAACCTCTAACAACCAATCAGTGAACAGGAATGATGTTCAATAACCTCTAACAATCAGTGAGCGGTAAGGATGTGCAGTAACCTCTAGCTACCAATCAGTGAGCAGGAATATGTATGCCGCCATGTTGGCACCGTGGAAAACAGAAAATTGTTTCAAATACCGTAATTTTCCTTTTCTGTTGCCAGTCCACATGTATGTTGCCATGGAATGGCACCAGGAAAGGAAAATTACGGTAAGTATTTGATACAATTTTCCGTACAAATATCTGTTATCAGGCAGTTTTATGGCAGAAGAGTTTGTGGGGAAATTTATGAAGCAAATAGTAACATTGTTAGATGAACAGATGGCCGCTAGAGATGAGCGAAGTATTCAAAAATTCGATTCGGCTGATTCAGCGAATTCGAGGAATAAATTTGATTCGAGTCGAATATATTCGCTGCGAATTTAACTTATAAAAAGGGTGTTTCTAGGCTTCAGAGAGCCTTTATATTAGTGCAGAACACTGTACCTTTAATTTAAATGCCCTTGGAGTCTGCTGGGGAAGAGAAAATAATACTGTCAGTCAGTATGACATGCAGATGAGTGCCGTCGATCTTAGAATCACCGCACACTTCACTCATTTGGGCAGTCACGGGGCCAAAACCAGAGTGTGGAGCCACAGTGTGGCGGTGGAGGCAGCAGCATTGGGAGGCCATACAGCACTCTATGACAAAAATGGAACCCACCAGCAGTGTGAGGAGACCTGAAAGTGGCACATGGCAGAGTGTGGCGATGGAGACAGCAGCAATGGGAGGCCGTACAGGGACCCATGACACACTCTGGACCTGGCAGCAGCATGAGGAGGCGGTACAGGGGCCCATGACAGATTACGGGCCTGGCAGCAGCATGAGGAGTCGGTACGGGGGCCCATGGGAGATTACGGGCCTGGCAGCAGCAATGGGAGGCCCGTAATCTGTCAGCACCCTATGACAAAATGGAACCCACCAGCAGTGTGAGGAGACCTGAAAGTGGCACATGGCAGAGTGTGGCGATGGAGACAGCAGCAATGGGAGGCCGTACAGGGACCCATGAGACACTCTGGACCTGGCAGCAGCATGAGGAGGCGGTACGGGGGCCCATGGCAGATTACGGGCCTGGCAGCAGCAATGGGAGGCCCGTAATCTGCCAGCACCCTATGACAAAATGGAACCACCAGCAGTGTGAGGAGACCTGAAAGTGGCACATGGCAGAGTGTGGCGATGGAGACAGCAGCAATGGGAGGCCGTACAGGGACCCATGAGACACTCTGGACCTGGCAGCAGCATGAGGAGGCGGTACGGGGGCCCATGGCAGATTACGGGCCTGGCAGCAGCAATGGGAGGCCCGTAATCTACCAGCACCCTATGACAAAATGGAACCCACCAGCAGTGTGAGGAGACCTGAAAGTGGCACATGGCAGAGTGTGGCGATGGAGACAGCAGCAATGGGAGGCCGTACAGGGACCCATGAGAGACTCTGGACCTGGCAGCACCCATGAGGAGGAGGCAGTACAGGGGCCCATGACAGATTACGGGCCTGCAGCAGCATGAGGAGGCGGTCGGTATGGGGGCCCATGGCAGATTACGGGCCTGGCAGCAGCAATGGGAGGCCCGTAATCTGCCAGCACCCTATGACAAAATGGAAACCCAGCAGCAGTGTGAGGAGACCTGAAAGTGGCACATGGCAGAGTGTGGCGATGGAGACAGCAGCAATGGGAGGCCGTACAGGGACCCATGACAGATTACGGGACCTGGCAGCAGCATGAGGAGGCGGTACAGGGGCCCATGGCAGATTACGGGCCTGGCAGCAGCAATGGGAGGCCCGTAATCTGCCAGCACCCTATGACAAAATGGAACCCACCAGCAGTGTGTGAGGAGACCTGAAAGATCTGCCAGCACCCTATGACAAAAAATGGAACCCACCAGCAGTGTGAGGAGACCTGAAAGTGGCACATGGCAGAGTGTGGCGATGGAGACAGCAGCAATGGGAGGCCGTACAGGGACCCATGAGACACTCTGGACCTGGCAGCAGCATGAGGAGGGCGGTACAGGGGCCCATGGCAGAGTGGCGAAGCGTAAGCAGCCCGTAATTGAAGGCCATACAGAGGCCTATGTTAAAAATAATAACATGTTTGGGGCATGATTCATGGCGGATTTAGTCAGTTGTGTCAGGAACTGGTGGTTTGAAATCCAGACTAATCCACGCCTGATTCATTTTCACAAACGTGAGTCTCTCCACACTTTGGGTGGACAGTCGTGTCCTCCGCGGAGTTACAATACCTCCTGCCGCACTAAACACGCGCTCCGATGCCACGCTACTGGCCGGGCATGACAGCCTTTCAAGGGCAAATTCAGCTAGTTGGGCCAAAGGTCAAGTTTCGTTGCCCAGTAGTCAAGGGGATTGTCTACCTCGGTTGGCAGGGTGCTGTCCAAGTAGGCCCAAGCCTGTTGTTTGAGGTCCTGCTCCAGGTCCACCTGATGCTGCTGCTGCTGCTGCGGCTGGTTAGTAGTTTCCTCACTGCGCTGGTGAAGAAAGCTACTCATCATCGACTGCAGACTGAGGCAGCCGCTGCTGGTGGAGCTGCCACTGCTCCTACCACCCCACCCCTCCCCTGCTGCCATGGCAGCGGAACGCGAGCGCGCACAGGGCCCACAGTGTCTGAGGATGGACGTTGGCGCAGAAAGGCAGAGACCAACTGACTACATAGGTGGTTTTTATAGTACGTTATTTTGGCCTCCCTCTCAGCAGGTGTGAAAAAGGCCACCATTTTTGAACGGTAGCGAGGGTCCAACAAGGTGGACAGCCAAAAGTCATCCCTCTGTCTGATGGTTATTATTCGGCTGTCGCTACGCAAGCAACCGAGCATGCTATGGGCCATTTGTGCCAAGGAATGCGAGGGACTCCCTGCCTCCATCTCCACAGCATACTGCCACGGTGCGTCTGGGTCCTCTGTCTCCTCCTCCTCCTCCTCTACCAGATGCTCCTGCTCCTCCACTCCTGTCCGCTGAGTGGAAAAACCACCCATTTCACTCAATAATTCCTGAGCACCAATGTCCTCCTCTACCTCCTCCTCTTCTTCCTGTCCTGCCCCCACAGGGGTCATGTGGCGTTGAGATCTGTGCGCCACGTCTACCGCACCCTGACCAGCCATTGTTAACAG